CTCTTGGAGCCCTGATTGCAGCATAAGAAGCCTGACGACCACTGTGTGGGAGAGGCCCTGGCAGTGGCTTTGTGCTGCATGGACAGAGGCAGGAACCAAGCTGGGCTCAGCCCTACAGGTGTTCTTACCAAGGCACTAGGTGCAGGAGGAAAGCTATTTTGGACTCCAGATGAGACCGTCATCATCTGAATGCCATCATATAAACCCAGTCAGTAGCACATGAAACAAAAGCATGATCCAGGAAAACCGTACCACAATTCCTGACTTGCGAAATCATGAGACATAAGGAAACGGAGGCTGTTTTCAGCTACTAAATTTTGAGGGTACTTTATCAGACGGCAAAAGACAAAAAGACCAGCAAACAAAGCCAATATTTGTTCTCTGAAAAGCCTCATGAAACTGTGTCTTATCTCAAATTATATTAGTTTTAAAAACACACGTCACAAATATCAAGACTTTTTTAAATAAAAGGCTATAGATCAGACATTTAAAAGATTACGATGTGTTATGTACAGGTACTAACTCCCCATGATGACTGTAACCATTATGTACTGCAAACATGTACTAAGAAAAATGAATGAAACTACAAAAAATAAAATTAATACTTGAAACAAATAAAATAGACAATCATAGAAAAATATAATTTACCAAATGAAGCTGATTAAGAAAAAAATTTAACACTTGAGTAGAACTATAACTATTAAGGAATTCAAATCAGTAATTTAAATAATCTTTCATTCCATCCCAAAACAAGAACCAGAACAAAAGTTTACACAGTATTACAGGCAAGTCCACCAAAATTCAAGGAGCCACATTTCTCCAAAACAAATGACAACAATAAAAGCACACACTATTTCACAGGCAATGTGAACATGAATAAGGAGCAGACAACAGTTAAAATTTCTTTTCCAGGAAACGGAAAAAGAAGAGTGATCCAAACTTATTCCTTAAGGAAAATATGATCCTGATATCAAAAATTAAGGGTATTATGGAACAGAAAACCTCCCTACAAAATATAGATATAAAAATATTCCATAAAATATCATTAAATTGAACACAGTCATATAGAAAATAATATCATGACTATGTTCAATTTATGCAATAATGCAAGTAGTGTATCAATAGGATGTCTGCCACTGAAATTTAGTGCTTTAATCCCTTAAGAACAAAAAATGAAAAATCATCTTTCTAGATGCATGAAATACACTTGAGAAAATTACTAAAAAGATAAGGTAATAAATTATTTATATTTAATGAAAGAAATATCATATAGCAGTTAAAATCAATTAATTTCATCTAGATACAACAGAAAATTCTGTGTCCTGAATAAGAATAGCAAGTCAAAGCAAAGTGCAGAGTACAATATTGTCTTTCTCTATACTCATTAAAAAATCATACATTTTGTAACTCTTGTTATAAAGTTATTGTAAGTATGGTACTAAAAGTTTTAAACAAGAATTAATAAGAAAAATATGACATTAGTTCTACCATTGAACAAAATTATAACAAAATTATAAAAACTACATAAAACCTGCGATAATAGTAAGGAAAAATACAGCATTTGAGAAATTTTTCAAATAAAATTTAACTTCATTTCACTTGTTAAGTCAACATAAACTCCAGAAAAAATAAATGAAAAGAAAATAATTACTAGGCAAATGGCATGCATTTATGTGACATTTTGAGGTACAATACTAAAAGCAGAAACTGTAAGAGAAATTAACAGACTATATATATCAAAAATATGGAACAACACAAAACAAATGAAAGCCATATGAAAAGAACTTAAAAACCATGCAAATGACTAATGAGGGCAAGAATTAACACAGTATGTCTCAATCATGACTTTAATATAGAAGTAATCCTTACAAAACCATAAGAAACAGACTAATAATGCACAATTGGTAGCTAATTGAAGGACATATATAGTCAATTAAAAGAAGCACTTTAAATGGAATTGGATTAACTTCACATATGAAAAGATGTTCAACATCTCAAGACCCAAATAAACAACAGAAACTTTAAAAGGACTGTTTTCTTTAATAGTTTTCTATGATTAAAAATTATCCTTATAGTCAGTAGTAGTATGCAAGTGAACACATAAATCTCATTCTCATTCTTAGATGTTATCAACTAACACATTTCTAGCAATCAGCTTATCAACATGCATTAAAACTCTTACCACAGTTTACATCCTTTGACCCAGGCTTTTCACTTCTCAGGCTTTACAATCAGAAAATATGTTCACATGTAATTCATGTAATTTATACTTCAATAAATTTGAACAAAATTATTTTCAATTAAGTAAAAAAATTGGATGTGTTCAAGATTGTATATATAAGAATGGTTATATATATGTATATGTAGATTTTAATTATATGTATTATGTTAGCAAGAAACTGGAGATTGAGTAAGGTCAAATATAGGAAAATGATTAAATAAATAATGACATATCCATAGAGTAGAATCTTATGTAATTTAAATTCAGATAAATCTCTAATTATAAACACGGGAAAGTAGTTACACCATACTGTTAGAAGAATAAGTTACAAAGCAATGTGCTGAGTGTGCTTTCATTTTCAAGATTCAATGCTTGAATTTACAAATAAGCTTAAAGTTTCTGAGGAAGGGTATGTAGAAGATACTATACCCTTTCACACACGAGATTATTCTTTTATTTTACCTTTGCTCAACTATTCTGCTTAATGTTTCAGCAATAAATGCTGATTATTTATGTGCTGAGAAAAAATGGACTGAGAACAAGTGAGTGAACGTGAAAGAGAAAAAGAAAAAAGACAGAATGACAAATACCACTTTAATTATTACCTCTACCAAGAAAATTTCTTCGGAAAAAACATCTTTGGAAAAATCTATAGCCTCTGATTACACCCTTTCCTGGAGTCTTCTCAGCTCTTATGAATACAGTTTTGACAGCATTTTCATGATTTTGTTTCAAAGTTGCTTTACTTTTCAAAGTAATGTCAACCAAGCAAAGTTTTATAAATATTCTTGTACTACTTTCGCATACCACAAATCTCTGCACATAGACATTTCAAACTGTTGCATGACTTTAATTGAACAGCTATCAGTATCTTAATTTAGTTCATAGTCACAAACTGCCAAAAGAGCAGATCTTGAGAGATGGATGGTGCGACATTATTGAGAATAAGCAGAGAAGTGACATTGGACGAAAGCCGTCAGGCAGGACCAAGATGGTCTGACACATCAAAACGAGTACTTGGTTGAGGTTAAAATTCTTCTACCAATTAACTCTGGGAAAGTTATTTAAACCCATCAGATCAGCTTAATAAATAAACTAAGCTCCTTCTATATGTATCATTCCTGATCATCATGATTTTGCAGTAGAAGTTTTACCTCTGCTATTTTAAGGGGCTGCACTTAGATGGTAGAATTTAGCAAAAGCACTAACTACAATTTAGAAAGGAACCAGTGCTGTTCTCTGGGCTTAAGGATTTTAAAGATACAGGAAATTTATTTCTCTTTTACAAATTTTACTATGTATATTTAGAAACCTTTCATGTTGCTAATGTTAGTAAAAATCTATTGAATTATATTCACATAAACATACAAGCTTTCACCAGTATAATGAAAAGATCTCAGTAACTAATTAAATAGTCATGATGCCTATAATGAAAGAAATAATTTCTATTTTATATATTCTATAAAACACTGAATACTCAATTGTTTTTTGACCCAGGTGTGGTGGCGCATCCCTGTAATCCCAGCACCCAGGAGGCTGAGGCAGGAGGATTGTTGAAAGTTCGAGACCAGCCTGGGCTACAAAGTGAGCTCAAGGCCAGCCTGAACTGCACAGCAGGATCCTGTCTCAAAAAGACAAAACAAACTGTTTTTTGAAAGACTACAAGATTTTGACACTAGTATAAATACTTACACAGCTTGTACATGGAAATCAGTTGCATTGAAATTCTTATTCAAAAACATTCCCACAACTTATACCTCTACATTTGTCAGCAGTAACTTCAAATATATTTCTAAGACTTGAAAAATTATGCCGTCATGAAGGTTATTCAAAATGGAAACAAGCTAATGAAGTTTTTTGAAGTGATAAATTTTTGCTGGTAATTTAGAATGCTTGTGCACATGGCTAGAAGGTGTAGAAGGGTTGTAATTTTCTTTACCACAATGATCAAATTTATTACCTTACATAAAATAAAAATTTTAAAACTACATCATGTTTTTATTTTCACTTTAGTTTCTAGCAAGGGAAAATGCCTTTTCAAATTCCAAATTATTCATACCTCCATTCTGAAACTTAGTAAATAATAAATAGTACTCCAATGGAAATAATGGATGGGTTATACAATTCCAATGGAAAGGTTCAGTATTTCTTTTTAAAAAGGTATCATTACGTTTTTTTAAAAATTCATTTTTAAATTAACAAAACCATTTCACTTATTCAGTTATTTTCTAAGGAAGATCAATAATTACATGAGAAAATTAAGAAATATTTATTATATAATATTTGCAGTATCATCATGAGAAGTATCATACCCATTAATAGACAGATTAATCTTTTACTTCTCCATTTGCATAAAAATATCTTTAATTAAGTATAGATATATAGATATAGTGACATATTTATTTGAGTTTCCTGTATTTCTTACTAAGATTGAGACTGAGAAATTGTGTCCACTATGACTTAAAAAAGCAAAAATAGGAAGTCTACCTAGATGCCTTTAAATTCAAAGTGTCCTCTTTTCTTATGAGCTAGCTAGTTACCTATTACAAGGCATTAGTAATTCCTTTCTTTTCAAGTTATCTTTAGGGTGCTTCAGCTATACTGAGCTTTTTACCAATGCAAAATGTTAGCTGTTCTGGGCTTTTCTTTGCTATGCCCAACCCAGAGACAGGAGGATTTTTCCTTCAAATCTCAGTGCACACATGTAAACACAATTACTCAAAACAAGGCAACAAGTGAGAGGCAGGGTTAAAATAAGAACTCAGACAGTCTGACTCACAATCCAGGATTCAACGCCCTATAACTTGCTGTTTTCCTTTGTCCTCTTTGCTGTGAATCAAGATACTTGCTCTTTAGCAGGGTGTTTCTGCTGCAAATCCAGTTGCTACTGCATTATGCAATGAAGTCAGAAGCCTGAGCTTGTGACATCAATATAGGTTGCTATGGTAACTTTCCATAAGTATTACAGGTTCAGTGGAGGCTCAAAAAAGGGGACTTCAGCACAGCAGCAAAATAACTAGCATTTTTCATCCTAAATGACAACAATGATGAATGTAAAAAATGTTTTGTAATTATTATATACCTAGAAATTTTACATTTTTGTTTAATGTCATTATTGAAAGTGATTTCTCTAATACATGTATTATTTTTAAATGAAAATTTCTCAATAGAAGTAGCAATGCCATTGACCTGATGAAAAGCATCCGTGATCCATGCAGAAACAGATCCCATTATAATAAGTCAATTAAAGCTATACACAACCTATTAAGCATAAATTCATAATGGTATGATACCAATCTAGTTTTCTTATTAGAGGAATTATAAAATGACATCAACAGGTGCATATGTGAAAGTATTTTTAGATCAGAAGCCTATATTTGTTAAAGGAATAGTAAAGATCACTCTTTGATTGCACAAGTTCATCACTACTTCCCTAAAATATTTTTTCCAGCTCAGATAGCTAAATACACCTCCCTGAGTAAATAATACTTAGAAAGAATTTGCCTTTAATTTTTTTACCTGAATTTTAAAGCACATGACAGAATAATTAGATTAAACTTTCTTCCATAGACCTCTTATTTATATAATCTACCATCATGAACAGGACAGTAATAGTTCAGTCTCGCAAACATCCTTGAGCTAAGTATTTGTGTTACAAAGTTTTGGGCATTTGGTATAAGATACAAAATGAAAAGTTCATGCGTAAAGGTAATAATCATTGCAGTAATGGCACAAATAATAATAAAAATACTGAGTATCTGCCACATGCCACAGACCATACTAAACAATACATATGATATCTCACTTAATCTTCCAAATTATAAAATGAGGGAGACAGGCATGTATTCCCCATCTCATATAAAACTGAACCTCAAGAGATAAAATGATTGCTAGAATCATATAGCTAGTTAGGAGCACAGCTGATATTCAAACTTCGGGCTGACTCCAAATTTTTATCATGTTTAAACAGAAATTAAAGGTAATTCCCTGTTACAGTAGAAAAATTGAAAATTGCATGATAATCTTATTGAACAAGAATTTCTTGTTAGAAGTCATCAGAACAGAATACAAATGATAATTTTGTCATTGACTTCAAAACAATTTTGATGACTGACTTTCCTCTTTGTATAACATTTAGCATTTCTGAAACTGTTTTCCTGAATAGTTTTTTCTTCTTTGTTTAGAAATGAAACGATAAAATGGGTAAAGGATAGAAACTTCAATAAATGGTGCTGGGAAAACTTAATATCCACATAAAAAGAGTGAAAGTAGATCCATTTATGCTTACATCATACACAAAAATTAACTCAAAGTTAATTGAAGACTTAGGGCCAGGGGTATAGCTCAGTGGCACAAGCCCTTGCCTGGAAAGCACAAGGTCCTGAATTCAACTCCCGGTTCCAAAAAAAAAAAAACACAATTAAAGACTTAAACATAGAAAATAACACTCCTGAAAGAAAACAAAGGAGGAAATCTCCTTGACATTGTTATCAACAATTGTTTTATTTTTGAATTTGGACGCTGGAAGCATATATAACAAAAACAAAACTAAAAAATGGGACTATATCAAACTGCAAAGTTTCTGCACAGCAAATAATCATTAAAATGAAAAGGCAACTTAAAAATGGAAGAAAATATTTGTAAATTATATAGCCAACAAGCAGTGAATATCTAAATATACAAGTAATACCTACAACTCAATAGTAAATAAATAAATAACTCAATTAAAACCCCAGCAAAATACCTGAATACATATTTCTCCAAAAGAGATACTCAGATGGCCAATAAGTATATAAAAACATATTCAGCATCACTAATCAAAAGCGATATGCAAATCAAAACTGCAATAAGATCTTGCTTCAGTCCAGTAAGAATGGTTATCATCAAATAGACAAAAGATAACAAGTGTTAGCAGTGATGTGCAGACAAAACGGTACTTGTATACTATAGGTGGGAATGTAAATTAGTATGAGTATTACAGAAAACAGTGTAGGGATGACTCAAAAAATCAAAAACTAAAACATTACATTGGTCAGCGTATTGATTAGAATTCTCTAGAGGAGCAGAATCAGTAAAAAATATATGTATAACTATGAAAGGGGATTTCCTAGATAGGCTTTCTAGAGGCTCAAGAGTGAACAATTGTCATCAGTGCAGTAGAGACTAAGGACCCAGAACCTGTTCAGTCTTAGAATATGGAAGCCTCAGAACAAGAGGGACCAAGCATGTGCAGCACCAAGCCTGGAAACTCACTGCAGAGTTACTGCTATTGGTCTGCATTGGAAGGCTGAAGATACCAGACACTAGTGACCAAAGGTGACATAAATAAAACACCCACTGAAGCAAACTGGAGCTCTTCAAATGAACAACTTCTTCCTCTTTTCCTTTTTAAAAAACAAATTCAATCCAGACTATAAGGCTATTGGTTAGTGTCTCCCAGTCTTGGTTACTTTTCTCTGATTGCTGGGACAAAATACCCGACACCCAAAATTAAGGAAGGAAAAGTTTATTTAGGTCACAGTTCATGGAGGTTTCAGTCCATACTTGGCTGGTTCCAAGGCAATGTGGCACATGGCAGAGGGCAACAGTTCATGGTGGTAGAAGATAGCAAAAGCAATAACAGTACAAGGGAGGAGCAGCAGAGAGCAAGCCTCTTTCCCTCCCTTATATTGTATCCAAACTACCTGCCCCAGCACTAGACAATGGATCAATCATAAACTCTAGAAGCCCGCTCCATGACTGCATAAGGCTTTGGGGGGACATCCAGAACAAAACCATAACACACCTGTAAATGGGGTGGTTCTTTTCCCCTCAGTTTACCAGTATACAAGTTAATCATCTCTCAAAACACCTCACAGGCACACATAGAACTGTGTTTTACTAATTGCTAGGCATTTCTTAATCCAGTCAAATTTACATATCACAATTAATGGTCACAATCCACCCCTTGTCAATTTGACAACCAAGCACACTTCCTTAAATCATACTTCATCTTCACATATACAATAATAAGCTGGTAATTTTACCTAACATTGTGCAATGCCAGTGGAGCCCTTGTACCCAACTGAACTCTCCTGAGCCTGGCCTTTACGACCCCCATTCCTATCAGCACACTAGTCCTTTGGGCTCTGGCCAGAATCATCCATCAGGTTCTGGGCCTAGGCTTCTCTAACCTGCATCTCCCAAACTTTCCAAACTACTTCCCCAAACCATTTCCAAAGACTTCTACGTGACATGGTCAGGTACAGTCACAACAATGACCACTTCTCTCCAATACAAATTTTCTATATCAGTTTTCATGTCACTGAGACATAATACCTGAGACCCACAGTTCAAATAATAGGTTCAATTTAGCTCAGACTTTCAGGAGATTTGGTTCATGATCAGCTGGCTCCAAGGGAGAAACATCATGGTGAAAGAGTATGGCAAGGTAAAGATGTACAGTTCGTGGTAGTCAGAAATTAGAGCAGGTGAAAAGTGCCAGAGAGGGAGGAGCTGGAGTCTGTATATAGTACCCAAGGTCACACCTCCATGACCTCCCAGAAACATCCAGAAGAATACTATACTAATGTGATAGGCATTTCTTAATCCAGTGAAGGTTATATATCATGATTAAGTCAGTCAGCTTTCCTGTTGCTGTAACAAATTATCTAACACTACAGTTTAAAGAAGAGAGGTTTATTTTGGCTCACAGTTTCACAGATTAGAGTCTATGGTTTGCTGGCTCCAAAGAAGAAACATCATAGTAGAAGAGCTTGGGACAGCAAAATTATTTCATTCATGGTGGCTGGGGAGCAAAGCACAGGGAAAGAGTACTGGAGAGGAAAGGGCCAGGGATCAAATATAGTTTTCTCCTGTATGACCTGCCTAGAAATACACAAAAATGTGCTTTATTAACTTTTCCAGCCAATCACCTTGACAACCAAGATTAATTATCATACATACCATCCAATAACTGCACTTCTGTGCATATTTCTAAAGGAAATAAAATCAGTATCTCAAAGAGACAGCTCCATATTCATTGCAGTGGTGTTGACAATGGGCCAGATATAGAAACAAACTGTGGACAGGTAAATGGATAAAGAAAATGTGTTGGGGGTGTGTGTGTGTCTGTGTGTACAATGGAATTTAATATGGCCTTTAGAAAGGAGAAGGCCTGTCAATTGCTACATGAAGGCACCTTGAGAACATTTTGCCAAGGGAAGTAAGCCAGACACAGAAAGACAAATACTGTACTACCTCACTTACATGTAGAATCTACACAAGTCAAACTCCTAGAAATACAGGGGAGATACTCCTAGAGTATAGGGGATATGGGGAGAGATTGATTAAAAAGTACAAACTTTCAGTTATAAATTCTGTATAGTCTGGTGACTAGAGTTAATAATAACTCTATGTTAACAAATGTGAATGAACATTATTACATATTTTATACTAGAAATTTGCTGAGAGTAGATCTTTGATGTTCTTACCACAAAAAATGAGGTAGTAGATATTTTACATGAACTAATGATAATAATTGTTTTTCAATGTATACATATATGAAAACATTGCAACATATACCCTAAACAAATGCAAATTTTGTCAGTCATTATCAGTAGAGCTCAAAAGATATTAGCTCTTTTCCTAGAGACTTGCTTTAATACTCTAATATATTCTAAATTATTATATTATATCAGCTCTAATAAATATATTAATAATTTAATGTGTATTGTCATCATCATTTATAAATCATGCAAAACATTCAGTCATGTGGCAAATTTTTATTGACCTCTATTGTGGCTCAGGCACTGTGCAAAATGTTAGGCATGAACTACACCAAGTACTAAAATGATCCTCCAATTAGTCTATAATGGGAGAAAGACATTCATCAAA